GCAGGTATTAGCTCATCCACAGCTGCCATAATGTTCATTTCAACTAGATTGAGCTTTGAACTTTAACTAGATAATTGCAACACCTTCATTCTTTTATTTTCCTCTGGTTATTTTAAAGCAGATTTCCTCATTTGTTTGGGATAATTTTCCTGTTTTATGGCCCAGTTTGATCTGGGCTTTGATTCTTAAAGACTACAAAGGAGCTCACAGGGTACTCAATAACTGCAAGGAGCCCAGGTCCAGTGACTGCAGAACACCACGCTGACAGCTGGTATGAGGCATTTTTAATAATGTGCTGTTTGGTTTCCACCAAACATAGGTCTAATTTGTCCATAGGACAATATTTCATAAGTATTGTGGTTTAGTAAAGGTCTCATTTGCTAATTTCACACTTTTTTTTCAATGAATTTGTTGTGGTCTCTAGTAAGAATGAATGTCCTGTACGGTATTATTTGGAATAAAAGCTCTCGCACTCCTGTTTCAGGGGGTTAAAGTTTGTCAGAGGAGTGGTGGGCGGAAAACAAATGGATTACGAGACCTACTCATTAATATTCATGATTTGCCAACATCTTGCTTCCGATTGGCTGACAGCAACACAACTCTTCCACAGTCTTCGTTTGGTCTTCTATCTTGGGTAAATAAAGGCCACGTTGATGTTTTATGTCCACAAAAAAATAAATAACCACAGGCCTGAATATGTTACGCCACTATTTGGAATTGCTCATGGTTAGCTTCTGTTAGCAGGACACACTGCTCTCTCCTGGCTGAAAAATCAATACAGTGTTCCACGGACACAAGCCTAGGTGGACAATTCCATTAATACTCATTTTTCCTGTGACTGGCTTTTTCTGAATATTGTTTTCCTGTCTTTTTTCTTCCTGCAGTTTATGCAGGCGATAGGGGTTGAAGACATTTTTCACATTCACCATGCATATGCAACTCAATCGTATTTCAAAAAGTAAGTAAGTAAAACTTTAATTATATAGCACTTTTGACAGATAAAATCACAAAGTCCTTCACAACATACATAAAAAGGCAAAACAGGACAGGAGCACAAGGTCAGCTTACATAAAAGCTTGTCTAAATAAAAGTTTCTTCAGCTGCTTTTTAAAAGAATCAACAGAGTTGGCCACATGAAGAAATAATGGCAGGCCGTTCCAAAGTCTGGGAGCTACAGCTTGAAAGGACAGGTCCCCTCTAGTTTTAAATCTGGTCTTGGGGACCTTCAGTAGGTTTTTACCCGAGGACCGTAGAGTGCGGCCAGAAGAGTGAGGGATTAAAAGGTCTGATAAAAAAAGAACAAGTATTACAAGGTTTCTCGGTCAACGAGACATTTAAGATTTAACTTTGCAAAACTAAGCCATGTTGCCATGTTTTTGAGAATTTATTTTAATAGCAACCCTTCCACACAAACCATACCCGTTTAGTGTTTTCCTAATCGTCCTGTTATTAACGTTGAACTCATGACTTGATAGTTTAGCTTCATAGAGTCTGGGCTTAGGGTAGGGCCTGGCAATAAATCAAAAATGTATCGTTATCAAAATTTATGACTGTTGTTGAGAATTTTTCCCATGTCAATAAATTTGATAATAAAAAAAATTAAAATATGTGTGTAGTTTGGCAAAATTCATGTCCTTTTAAGAAGCTGTACCACATTGAGTCACGTAAAAATGTGACTCAATGTGGTACATGTGACAGCCCCATCTAGTGGACAAATTTTGATTCTGCGCATACCTGTAGTTATCGTTTATTTATCGTTAGAGGTCAAATCCTTAATATATTGTGATATTGATTTTAGACCATATGACCCAGCCCCAGCTTAGGGTGAATTAGGCTGTCCAATCCAAGGTAGACTGGCAGCAACCCTGAAAGTTTTCCATTAGGGGTGGGACTCAATCCCTCAGCGCTCCTCTGTGAGAGCGGGGGTGAGGGGTTGCACACGTTCCGCTGCTGTTTCTCGCCAGTATCAGCTGATGGAGGGCTCTAGTTTTGTTGCGCCGTTCGTGTCAGCGGACACGGTAGGGTCGGGGGGGGGGGGGGGGGGGGGGCATGACGCATAGCCTGGCGGGTGGGCAAGCACAGCCTGGCGTGCCGCCATGCTTATAAAGCGCTGGGGGAAACCCTGTATTAGAAAATGTGTTATTGATAATGTTTGAATGGACATGGAACATTGTAAATGTGTACTGAACTGAACACCAGGTAGCAGCAGAGTACTGCTTATACACAGAGGTGTAGTATAGTGTTCAGGGGAAGTTCTGCATAGAGTTACGAGATCAATGCTGCGTGTACCCTTGTCCCTCCTGCTGTAATAAAGTTCATATAGATAAAGTTACTGCCTACTTAACAGTAAAAAGTAGATTTAATTTTTTTTCTTTTCATCACAGCAAGCGATATGTCATGTTTCATTTAATTGTAGCTTTATTTGTGTTTGAGCATGTACATTTTTTAGATCAGGGCCTGCAGTTTGTTTAGGAGGTGCAGCTTGGTGATATTTATTGATATATGGCATAAATTGTGATGCTAAACAGTTTTGGGCCCCAATTGGGGGGGGCGCTCGGGCTCAAGCAGTAATTTTTGTTGGCAGTTTCCATTTCCTAGTTTTCCTTTTTTTCCCTCTGTAGAACGATGGACTCCAAATTGTTACAAAAACTTCTCCCAAATTGATGGGCACTGGGCAGTAATGATTTTTTTTCTCTAAAGGCCTCTGATATTGTGTTTAAACCTCTAGAACAGAGAATTGCATCAGCCACACTGATGATCATTTAATCAAGTGCATAAAGACATACTAGGATCGCAAACCTGGTTAAGATTGGATCGTTTTTTATTATACATTTTTATTTACTTCAACATTAAACTCAAACTGAAAGAGGGGCGCTTTGTTTAGTTTAGCTTTTTTACTTTTCACCATGAATGCATTAAGCTCACTTGAACAGTTTTTTTTCTTATAATTTACATTTTTAATTGGCCTTCACTTCACAGCCAGAAATCCTAAAAACCTGTTATCAAATACTGGATTATACCATTGCCTTACACTTCTAACCCATGCTATCTGCTTTTTTTAACACAAAGTATCCTCACAAAATTAAAATCAATTAGGAAATGCTGTGTAAAATAGTGCTGTGTAAAATAATTACTGTAACATTTCTAAACTCTTTGCTGCCACAATGCAAACTGTCTTTCATATAAACTACAAAATTAGAAATGATTCTCTCAGTTACACACACACACACACACACACGTGTGTGGCACAGTTACTCTGAAGTTGCCCCAGATACTCAGAGGAAGGCGCTTTTTGGAGTCATCTTCCTCGCTCTCAAACTGTCAGTAGCATCGCAGCAAAGTGATGGAGGACATTTGAACATGTTGCGCGTGCGATTCTCAACTAAAGCCGCGTGCAACAACAGAAAAGCTGCTTTATTTCTGACCATACAACCAGTAAATTCGTATATAATCCACTTTTAACCACGTCTCATTAAGTCAAAGCCGCTGTGACATAGCAGAAAACAAGCTGATATGTTTTATAGTTAAAGTCGCTAAGTGACCTTCCGTTTTTCTCTATGTTTATTGAAGACCACCATGTGTAGCTTGTTTTTGTCGCTTTGACAAGTGCTCAGCTTGGCCATAAGGCTCTCCCTTTAAGCTGCTTTGCCCTCATTCTCTTGCACTGGCTTTAGGAACACATTCGGTGGATAGCAGAAATGTCATTAATTAAAAAACAACACAAAGTCAATGATGTTAAAGGTGTGACTATAAGCCCACTTACCTGGAGCCGTTCGAAACTGACAGCTTTGTAGTCTACCTAGAAGTTATCGGCATTTTCTTTCTTCTGATTGTCAGCAGGTGCAGGAATGTACTCGTGGTGCATTCAGGGACCTGTCCTAAGCTCCGATCTTTCAAAACTGTGGCCGGATGTAAACAACGCAATATTCGTTCTATTTTAGAATAATACTAAAACAAGTTAATAAATGTGATACGCTGAAGTAACTATTTTAGATGGGATTTCTGATGGATGAATTCTGACTACTGCAACTATTATTGTTAGTATTGGAAACTTTCTCTTCTATACTAGACAGCTTTATTTAACCTTCAATTCTTGCAATAACATTTGGGTCGTCAATGTCCAAAATAATCATAGTTCCGATATGTCCGACAGTAAATGAAGGCAGCGCGATCTGTGCACAGTGGAGAGCAGTGACCCCTCCTGGACTGTTTATTTATTACTGGAATCAGTCCTGTGCTGGTCAGCATTTCATGAAAAGACTCAACCGAGCAATTATTCATCAAATAAATACTTTAAAAGCAGATACAAACACTAATGTGTTGCTTTTACAACTACTGTTCAGTGAATATGCTTATAAAATAGCATCAATGTCTTAAAAACAGATCAGGGAATACAGCAAACCTACAATGACAAATGTTCTGCACATTACATTTTTATTATGTTTTCCAAGTGACAATGCAGTAGATGTAACACTTTACAATAAGGGTTCCTTTATTAACATTACTTAGTGCATTGTTAAGCATTAAGTGTCCCTTTATTAATTTTGCCAGTATTGTTATTAACTATTAAGTGTCTTTAGGGCTAGGACAATAGGCCGGGGGGAGGGGACTTCCTGGTAATGGATTACTTTATATAGTTAAGCAGTTGTTAATACTTATTAATAGTTTATTAAATCTTAATAATACACTAAGTAACGTTAATAAAAGGACCCTTATTGTGAAGTGTTCCAAGATAGAAAACAGAGAACAGTTGCCCAAACATTTTAAGTAAAATAAACTCAGCATGCACTGCTGCCTAGTAATCCTACGGCGTATGACATTCAGGACTGGCTTGACTGATCTTTAACGCATATTGTCTGTCAACTCACTGAGTTTTTTTTATGGTTCCTGTTACCGCAGCAACCACACTATAAAAGTAGGAGTGTGCAGAGGTACGAATAGATTATAGTTATTTTGTTCCAGGAAAAACTTCAGTAAAGGTGTTGCATACATTTTTATAGCAGTATTTCTAAGTAAATGTACACAAACAGCCTCAGAGCTCTTTTAATGCAGAATACTAACACAGCTGTAGGGTTAGGGTTGTGTTAGGTAAGCCCCATAAGGGCTTGAGACAAACACACTGAAGATGTATATTTTTTATAGGAAATGTATGAACAATAACAAATAATATAATTGTTTATATATTCAATGCACAATTAAACTGTGTTTTTTTTTTCAGGGAATAAAAAAGATTCACAGCCAAGACTTTTTTCCTCTTCCTATTCTGGTCATGTTGTGTAGTCTAGCCTTACTGCGCTCTTTTTCCTCTGAATTCCTTTTGGAAGTGCACTCCAGAGTAGAGTCTGTCTCAAAGGAGATGGCCGGCATCTGGTTAGGGACACCGCCGCCCCTGTCTCGGGAAACAGCCGCAGCCGTCTGCAGGACAACTCTTCCTCGCAGAGAGTGTTCAAGCTCCAGCAGCAGCGGGTTGCTGTACGAATACCACCCCAGCTGCTGCACGGACTCTCTGTTTGAGTCACAGCCTGTGCAGCATGCAGAGACCAGTACTCTGAAGATGTAAATCCAGCCCAAATAGTGCAACTCCACTATGTTCAGGATGAAGCAGCCCAGACTGACGCTGAACATGAAGTTTAGAAAGATGGTCTTCTCTGTGGCGCGGGACACAAAGCAGTCGGTTCTGTTGGGACATGGGTAGGTCTCACAGCGAAACAGGTGCGGCACCTCAAACCCAAAGAGGTAGTACTGCCCAACGAGGAAGATTATCTCCATGATGGAGCGCAGCAGAACATGTATGATGTAAATAAGAAGCACTTTACTTGATAGTTGAGTTGGATCCTCTTGTACCTCTCTGTCCTCCCCTTCCAGTTGACTCCTGTCCTCACACTCACCTTCTTGCGAGCTCCAGTCCTCATTTGTCAAAGTTGAGTCGTAAGGACTGACTGCTTCCAGGATCGTCCCTTCCTCCCTTGTTAAAGGTCTCCCACTTTCAAGTGAAGGTGAGGCCTTAGGCGCCGAGTTAACCTTTCTGACCTGTGAATTTTCATTCTTGGTGACTTTTTGCAAAACATAGACAATGTAGAAAATGGAAGGAGTGGAGACGAGAACAATCTGGAAGACCCAAAAGCGCAAGTGGGAGACGGGAGCAAAGGTGTCGTAGCAGACATTGCTGCAGCCGGGCTGCAGGGTGTTGCAGGTGAACTTGGACTGCTCGTCGCTGTAGACTGCATCCCCCACGAGGGCCACCAGCATGATGCGGAAGATGAGAAGCATCGTCAGCCAGATCTTACCGATGACTGTGGAGTGGTTTTGGACTTCTGTTAGGAAACGCCCAAGAATGGACCAGTCCCCCATTTCTGTAGACACGCAACAGACATGAGACCATCCACAGCAATATTTGGTATAGAAATGAATTGTGACACAAGGTGCTTAAATCAATAAAATGGTTCTTTAGCTTTAAACGTGGCTTTTTCTTAAATGTAAGATATCATTATGAGTGCAAAATAAAAGACAGTACTTCCTCAATGTGCCAGAGCATCAAAGACTTGTAATACTATTCATTTTCAATGGGACATATAAAGTTTTCTACATTCCCAAATCCTCCTTAATTACTCGTTTTTACCACATTTTTTGCAGTGTTAGAAAATTCCCAACTTTGCTCAGTCTCAATAGGATAACCTGGTGATTATTTAGGAAATAACAAGTAAAATTGTCCCATCAGAAATGAAAAACATGCCAAACGTTCTGTTGTTTATTATTTTCTTCCTTTCTTCAAGAACTTACCTTTCGATAATCCGAGTCCTTAGTATTCAGAGCTGGAAAAATATCAGAGGATGCGATCTGCATGGCTTTATTTTCAAGCAGAGTCTATTGCTGGATGTTATCGTGTCTTTGGGCCTGGATAAAGACAGAATGGGCTGACCACACATATTCTCTAACTCTGACTGAAACAGCCATCACACTGTATGTGAATGAAGGCTTTCAATATACAGTGGGACAAAGATTGAAAAGTACAATGGGGGCACCTTTGCTCCACAGCCATTCGCTGACCAGCAGAGGGTTCAAAGAACATACTGGAAAGAGTGTACACAACACCGATTCATACTCTGTATCTAATCTAACTTTAGAGCTGCAACACAAATTTAGGGAACTCGTTTTTTTTTAATCTAATGTATGGAAAATCTGTTTTTGTCATTTTTCGTGCCACTTTGGCTTTTATAAATACATTTTGGTGTTTTTCACCTTTCTGTTTTGTTTTTCTGATAAACAATTGTATCCTGTTTCCTTTATTGACCCCAAGGGGGTCATGGATCAGGAACGGAAATGATGGGGTGATGTTTTAGGGAACTTAACTGAGACTCAAAGTCACTGTTAGGTCCTGATGGGTAAATAATTACAGCTTCATAGTAATTCAAAAATATTCAGCAGTGTTTGGAAAGATTTCGGGATCAGAAAAAGCAGTTGTTTTCTGCTGTAGTTCACTACAGAGTGAGTGTTGAACTCACTTCATGTTAGTTTATTGTAAGACAAATACTATGAGTTTATTGTTGAAAAACTGTTTATTTCTGAAGTACAAGACCCTCGTGTTAAATTGTGATTTCTGTCACACAAGCTTTTCACAAAAAAGGAGATCTTTAAAAGTAAACAGACGCATACCAGCAATCTTAATTAACATCCAAAAACTATGTTGTGACCAATCAAATTATCAGGATTATATAAATTACTATAAAAATCCTATGAAATCACTAAAAGCATACTTAGATTTATTTAGTTTTGGTGTTCTTTTCTGCTGTAGGTTTTATTCTTTTTTATGATTACGACCCGTTTTGAACTTGTGCAGTTGTTGTTTTCTAAATGCAAAAAGAAAAGTGTCATACATTATCTTTATGTTGCGTACTGTTTATTAACAGAAGCCGATTAAACTGGCCTCTAGATTCGTTGCTGGCGTAAAGTTCGTGGTCTCTGTCGTTTTCAGTGGGCCATATGAATTACTAAACTGCAGCACTCGAAAATGTTTCCTCAGATCATATTGAACAAAAACATTTTCACATGTACGAATAGTTACGGTCCAACTATGCAAGCAAAACGTGAAACAAACCTCCTCGGCTGTTTGCTTTTTGAAGTAAAAGCGTATAAAATGTAAACTAACACCCAGTCATTCCCATGCCACATGCGACAATCTAATATAACAAATGCCCCTACAGGAATCACCCAAAAATCATTCAGAGGGGTGTTCAAAACCCAGCTGCTACAAAATACTTCTGAAAATGGTAGAAAATGTTCATAAAACTCACAAAAAGTAATTTTGATAAAGCATTCCTGTCTCATAGTGTTTATTTGTTTCTCTTTGAACGGTCAGTCACAAACAAAACAGCACAAAGTATTTGTTAAACACTGAGTTTAACACTCCCCGCCAAACAGTATGAAAAGTGGTTCAGTCCTAGAGGTTACCGGAAGTTGTTTCAGCTGCCATGTTTGGTTGCTTTGTTGTAGGCTTCTACTGGCTTTCCTACAGAATCACTAAGTGTGGAAATGGAGCCGAGCTGGAGTACGTTTCTTTTTCAAGTAAGTTGTCTCTTAGAGAGGGAAACCAGGATAGTTCGTAAAACAGCATTAAATCTTTTACGCACTGTTGATCATAGCGGCGAATTCCGTTTTTAAACGATTTACACCAAGAACAAGTAGCGAAGAAAACAATGGTTTATGAATCCAGGCTTCCAGCTGTGAGGCTTGGGAATGACGCTAGAACAAAAAAATCAAACCTCTCCAGTCCCCACTGAAGAAAAACGGCTTTTTTTCTATTGTTCGAAATTTTTATTCACTGATGTGTAATACTTCGACGGCCTTTGTGATTAGTTTGTTTGCCTAACCGAAGCCAGCAAAACATGCGGTTTCACTTGAAGTAAAGCTGGAGACGCCACTGCACCGTTACAATCGAGACAGACCTGGGGTTTTTCCCTCCTTTGACTGGAGGCTTTGATCGGACGTCGTAGAAGAATGAGATAAACCGTCGTCGAAGACTTTCAGAGCAGCATGTACGAAACGGCGGGGGTTAGGTTTGTGAGTGGCTGGCGTTAGCAGACGTGAGGTTAGCAGCTGCTGAGATTTACTAACGGCGATTCCCAAGTCCGCGGTCAACTTTCCGTTTGCTTTAGCCGGTTCGGCACAAACTAGCCAAGTGGCTAACGATGTTTATGCTACCTTCATTAAACTCGCTGAGCTAATTTAGCTAAATGTAGGCTATGCTATTGTTATGACTTTGCAAAACGAACGCTACACAACTCCTAAACGAGTGATATTTAGGTTTTCTTGTTAATTAATTAGCTATTTTTCCCGGTGAGCTTTGTGGAAAGGAATTCAAACTATGCACACGGCACTTGCTAACACTGAACGATGAAGCAGGTTTGAAATTAGCAATGAGCCGGTGTAACATAAATGTATTCATTCCTTTAGTCTGTTACGAAAGTTATCTGCTATTGTTGAGTGAGATGTTCTTATTTATTGTGTGAGAGTTGTTATTTCTTTAAATATGTTTTATGTTTTTATATTTTCTTGGCCTTCAATTTGGAAAATTAGCTTGCATGAATATCATAACAAAATGTTCAACTGTCTTTAGATTGTATATTTCCAACAAATAATTCTGAAATATTCGTATAACTGCTGTAAATTGCTTCTTAAAATTAAATCTATCCAATTGTGGGATAAACTCCTCATATATTTTATTGCAAAATGCATGTATGGTGAGCTAATAAAAAAGCATTCTGACATTTACAAGCCAGTGTTACTTTGCACAAAGATTATTGTTTTGCAGGCGTTTCTGAAGATGAGAAGTTATTGTTGGCAATATGTCGTTTCGTTTGCGATCAAGCAAAGAGATGGACAGTATTTTGTAATTACTGTGGAGCAAAAATTTGCTTGAAGTTCTGTTAAATTGTTGGAATGCCAGACTTATAGAAAATGTAGATTGTGCCTTTTTTTGGCAGTTTCAGACTTTAATAAAAGTTTGGTTTAGTATCAAAGATTGTGCATTTGTTTACATTTAGTTTACTGTGTAGCAGTAGTGGAATAAAGGCAATCAGGACATTATTTGTAATACATTCACAGTCACAGCATGTTTCACTACTGTTACACAGTGGTAGGAGTTAGTGCTATGTGGTAATTTGTCATTTTCCAAATAGGCCCTAAAATATGATGAGTCATCCTGCACTTGTGGCTGTATGCTGCTAATACTTTGCCCAAATAAATCTTTCCTCAAAATTTTAGGCCCATCCCCCATGAGATACTCACAAAACACCAGCAGGGCTAATGGGTTGTAGTGGGAGGTACCTGCTCAGACCAGTGAATGTGATCAATCTGGGGAACGGGAATTTAAAAAAAGTGGACCAGGTTCCAGTTCTGTTTTTACAGAAAACATTTTAAAGTTATGTGAAAATTTTAAAATATTCACCGATGAGTGTGTGTGCGCACACGTTAGCTAGCTTCTTTGATATATTTCCTATTTACTGAAATCATTCTGCATTTAAAACAAATAGTCTTTTATGGTAGCTTTTTGTTTGTTTTCTAAGCTTTGATTCGATCAGAAACTGGAACCATTATGATTAAGACTTAAGCCTGTTTGGTGTGAATGCACATTATACTTAGCTTGGAGAAAATTATGTGCATAAGTGTCTGAAAGTCTGTTATGGTTTCCTCCATCAACTGCAGTAGCCACTCGGCTATGTCACTGTTGAAAATTGTGCAAACAAAACTCAATACCATGTGCTTTTCATCAGCCCTGCAATAATTATGTAACCAAAGCTAAATTATGCCAATAAAAACAAGTTAGCTATTTTGTACAAGGTCATATAAAATGGGATTTTGTTTTGTTCCTTGCAAAAAATGTAAAATATTAAAAAGTAGTCCAGTCCGCCACATTGTGTAAACGTTTAATTGATTTTACTCACTTAAAGAAAACCAGATCTTATTCTGATCTGTGTCACGCTTAATTCAGATTATGAGGGTGTTTCAGGCTAAAATACTGTTGACACCGCTGTTCCAAAGGCCATTCCCCAGGTGTTGTCATTTCATTTTACCTAATTACACTAGAAGTGCTACAGAAATGTGCATTTTGTAACATTTAAGGCCTTTTGGGGCTCGGCGTGTGGTTTCTAACTTTTTTTTTTTTTTTTTTTTTTTTTTTTTTTTTTTTTTTTACAATTAAAAAGACCTTATTTAAGATGAGTGGAATTATATTGTTTTTTGTTGGTTTGAAAGTTGTTTAAATTCGTGTGGTCTGTTTTTTAGCTGTAATGCCAAAAAAGTTAGGGTTCATCTTATTCTTTTTACTCATTTTACACTATTTTAGTATATTCTTAAAATAATCAGATGTACTTTTCATTTGTGTTGTTACTTTTTATGACATACAGCTGATTATTAAGAAATGTTTTTTATACTTGTTTTTTTCTTACAATAATTATTTATAATCTGAATTAAGTCCCTTCTCACACATGTTTGTTTTAAGGACCATTTTTAAATTGAGGTGCAGGCTTTTAGAGGTTTGTTTCCTCGTGAGCTAGTAACGTTGGATGATGCAATCTGAACCCTGCAGAAAGACTGATTATATCAAAATGACTTCCTCTTCTCTAGTATCAACAAACAAGGCCAAAATCTTGGAATTCTTTCTCTAAAAGACCGAGATTACCAAAATACTCTAGCGATGTTTTCCAGACATTTCTGTGTGCAGACAACAGTTAAAATAATAGCAGAATACTCTGTAACTTAGAGTACAATATAAAATCTGCTTTTAAAAGTATTTTTGTAATTAATGTTATAGTTAATAATATATATTCATGCAATACTTAGTTTTAAACTTTCTCCTTTTTATTTATTTATTTTTTTTAAACACTCATGGCCTGTATTTGTTTTTTTCACAATTGGCCTAGCAGCTGTAGCGTGTGGCACAAAAGATTGAGGAAAGGCGGTGCATAATCAGACTATGAGCTCAATTCAAGTCTACAGTGGCCCATCAGGACACTCCCTCCATTTTGATGTTATTTATGAGGGAGCAGCCCCAGTTGTCAGAGCGCATTTGTGTCAAAATGGTCAGAGCTGCATGAAGGCACAGCAGCTTACAGGCCCTACACCTCTGTGTAGCTAGGCCGTCTGCAGCGGCTTCGTCTGCTGTTCACAAAGAGGTTTCCCGGCTGGTATCCCCCCACCCACCCCTGGTGTGCCAGCGGACGGGGTTGCGTTGGCATGATGGTGATTAATCCTGGAAGGTGGCATGTGTAAGCAGGTGCTCAGACAAATGGATGGTGGCATGCTCCACAAGTTCCCAGGTCCCATCGTATATGAGGGAATGACGGCTAGTTCAGCTGAGTGGTGTGTGGATAAACAATGTCTCTGTCTCATGAATAGATGAGCCAAATCAATGAAGATGAGCATACAAAGATCCCCTGCTGAGGCCCGAGTGCATCACTGCTCAGATTTGTGTCTGTCACAATGGGCTAGATGACATAAGGAGGACATTGTGCATTTCATTTTTCTTTTCTATCCTGTCTCCTTTTGCTGCTCCTGTCTTTGCCGGCCTCCTTTGGTGGATGATTGAATCTCAAAGGGAAAGGTTAAGTATTTCATCATAGCCTCTGCAGACGGATGACAACGAGGTTGTTCCGACTTTGTTCATTTACTGCTAAACCTTGTGATGCTTATGTTATTTAAGTCTTTTGAGTATGAGGTTAGTTAAAAGGCTTGGTGTAAAACGTTTCCATGGAAGAAAAATGAATCCCAGTGAAAAAAGCCTCTGCTCATGTTATACTAGCTGCACGTATGTTTTTTTGTGGGACTGGGTTTAGTAGTTTCACTTATGGCTGGACAATAATTCAATAAGGATATACATCAATTGATAGACGTACGGCATGGTAGGAAAAAATGAGTAAATTAAAAGTTTCCTTTCTTTTTTCTATAATAGCCTATTGGGTAGTTTAATATTAGAGTCACTTACTCCCAACCAATCAAAACACAGACCCAGGCACACTCCATCTCCAAGCCCTCCCCTCTCAAAATAGACAGCAAGGTGTCTCAGCATGGAGCGGTGGAGGAAATTGTCCTGTAAAAAAGTTACAGTACAGTAGTTCACCAGCAATAAATAGAAAGATTTACAGAGAATCTATTTAAAATCAAGTTTGGTAGCACAACCAACATCTTTAATCATAAAGTAATGACATCAAATGGCCAGGGCTGCACTTAATATATATTTTTTAAAATAATTATCAATCAGTATGATTTATTTTTATTTTTATATGCTTTATTTCTATATTGGCCACCCTAGTTTCACTCAAAGTGTTGTTTTCATGTTAAGGAGTTAAACAAAGGGTTTTTAATGTTAGTCAACATAAACGTAAAGTTTTCATTTGAAAGATACTAGGGATGTCCCGTTCCGGTATCGGAAGTAATTCGATATCTGCCCAAAAACAGTGTATCGGATTATATCGGCCGGCATCAAAAATCTGATATAAAGGGTCCGTTAAGGTTCGCATTTTTGCAACCAATGGTTAACTAAAAATTTCAGTTTTTTCATACTTACTGTTATTGGCTCTTGTTCTCCGATTGAGTAATATTCATTTCATTTATTTATTTATAAAGCCCCTTCTGCGACCAGTGCAGACGCACAAGGTGCTGAACACAACACAATAAAAACATAAAACCATCAAAATAAAATATAGCAATCGTAAAACCAACATAAAAAAAATTAAGAGAGGAAAGTAAAAACAAAAAATTGAATCCTGAATAAAGATTAAGAGGCCGGGGCATCGAAACCAGGTAAAAATTGCTAATCCTGGAATGCCTTGACAAAAAAATGGGTCTTAAGGCGAGTCTTAAAACCCCCCAATGAGGGTGACTGACGCACCACCAAAGGTAACTGGTTCCAAAGTGCAGGTGCCAACACCGAGAACGCACGGTCCCACCGTGACCTGCACTTGGTGCGCAGAACCATCAACAGCTCCCTACCGGCTCAGCGAAGGGCCCACGATCAATATCACTTGATCAAGCCTTTCATACGTTCCACACTATGAAATAGGTAAAAGTATGTATGATTTGTGCTGATTTAGAATGGATCAAATGTGTTCCATTTATTTAACCACTGTTCTTAATGAATCATAATGCTAAAGTGCAGATTTCAGGTCTGTTTTAAAACATTTTCACACATTCTTTAAAAAGCTGCTGATGGAAAAACAACTAAAGACATCCAACGGACACAAAATATCTGCATAACGTCGAGTTTACTGAAAGGACGTAGCTTTGTAAATTGTGCAAGTGCTCACTCATCATTATCTTTCGTCAGCTTTAGACAAGCCCAAACAAAAATCTTTGATTCACTTTTAGTCATAGCTGTTCGATTATCCTGGCCGTTTTCCTTGCATCACAACACATTAGGTCATACCTTCAGCAAGAAGTTTGATCGCTCTTCTGATTAGGCAGCAAATAAATCAACCTTCAAATTTTTGAATCACCCTTCGGTATTTGTTCTCACCCTTTTAATTTCGATTATGCCATGGTAGTCAGTCGTGTTGGTTTTCACCTGCAAAACCCCAGGAAACATGGTGCTATATCTGTTGCTGTTTTATTCAGTTTGAGTTATGAAGCAGTTTTACTTCTCTGTTGCTCTACAGTAGAGCTAATGGCCTCCTCTTCAGCAGCCTTCTTGGCAGTTAAACTGGACTCTGCCATGCCTCTAATTTGGTATGCTTGCTCTGCAGTCACATGATGAATTGGCACCGTCGTGATGGGATCGTTTTTCATCCATTATATTTGGATTGTTTTGCATCAGTTGCACACTGTATAAACATCATTAAGTATTATTTTATTAAGTAACGCGTAGTATTTTCTGAGACTGTTCTAATGTTTTTGTTGAGTTATCAGAGATGATTGTAGAATCCTAGCAAAGAGCTTCCAGTGGTGGAACAGCTGTCGGCAACAAGATCCCCTTTTTTGTATTCTGCAGGGAACGTGGGCTCTTGCGAAACGGTTGAGTCCTTTACTGGTGTGATTTGTATTGAACCTTCTCTGACCCAAAAATGTGTGTGTGTTTGTTTTGTTAGCAAGCCAATGAAGCCCTCCACCACCAGCACCAGGTGGCCCAGAATAGCCTCCTGCCACTTCTTAATGCTGGAGCTGAGCAAGTTGACCAGAAGCCTGTCCTGCCCATCCAAATAGACCAGAAGCCACCTGTCAGTGCTGCTGAACTCCTGAAAGACAACGTCGCCAGCGGAGGAGGCCAACGGCCACCGATGCCCGTGATAAAGAAGGAACACAAAGGCAAAACACCGTTTGTCTGTGGCTATTGCAACAAGGCTTTTCGTGACAGTTATCATCTAAGACGCCATGAGTCCAGCCACACTGGCATTAAGATGGTGTCTCGTCCGAAGAAGACTGCTCAGGCAGCCCCCACCATGGTACCTATGATTGCCTCCATGCCCCGAGAGAACAACGGCAACTCTTCTTACATCTCCACGGTAGCGGGGATCCTCTCCACAGCGACCACATCCGTTTCTTCGGGCACAAGTATTATGACGTCATCTGCCATGGGCAATGTACCGCAGCAAAACGTTCCCAAGAAACCTGCCAAGCCTGTCAAGAAAAACCACGGGTGCGAGATGTGCGGCAAGGCCTTCCGTGATGTCTACCACCTGAACCGCCACAAGCTGTCCCATTCAGATGAGAAGCCCTTCGAGTGCCCCATCTGCCAGCAGCGCTTTAAAAGAAAGGACCGGATGACCTACCACGTTCGCTCTCACGATGGAGGGGTCCACAAGCCCTACGTGTGTTCTGTGTGTGGAAAAGGCTTTTCCAGGTAAGGATACACACACGCACACTCACCTGTACCCACGCCAGAGTAAAGACGATAAAGGCATGAGACTGAGCCCAAAGTTATTCTGTAGGTTGAGTGTAACATAAAGTCAGATAAATGCTGGGGTACGACACATTGTCCAAAGGTAACAAAACAATCCTGATTAGTTTATTCACAGGCTAAATGATCAGGACTTACCTGTCTGTACTCAGATACATGGGTTGTAGATTAAAAACTTCCCCAATAATTTGAGATGTTGCTTCTTTGGACTAAGAGGGCAGCATCCTCCAAACCCCTGTTAGTGTTTAAACATCTAACAAGCCGTGTGTGTGTGTGTGTGTGTGTGTGTGTGTGTGTGTGTGTGTGTGTGTGTGTGTGTGTGTGTGTGTGTGTGTGTGTGTGTGTGTGTGTGTGTGTGTGTGTGTGTGTGTAACACATAAAATAACATTCATCTGCGTCTGACTGGATGGCTGTGAGGAGCAGCTGTTACACTTCCACTGTGTTGAAACTAGATATTTTTTAACAACTGTTCTAGTTCATTCATGTGATTTCAATCAAGAAACAACAAATAACGTAGATGATGCAAGCTGGAAGTTTGAGATCTAAATTCTTCTGGCTGAGAGGGTTAAGTTACCCACCTCGACTCCCAAAATAATGACCAAATGGAACTAAAAATAACGCAATTATAAATACATTCCAGTGAGCATGTTTTATTGGGTTAAGTACTCGCCACTCATAACTTATGGTGTTTTAACACATAAGACTTGAGTTTTTGTTGTTTGGGTGAGGGTTTTCTTTACGTTGCTAGGGCTTTCAGGGGACTGCACTTATCTACACATCTGCTTTCATTAACCTGTAGGAAACTCATGATGGTGTGTTGTCCTGTAGCTTCTCAGTTACTGAGTTTTATCATCTCTTAAAGCTGTAAGTAGATCAGTTGTGTATCTAACGAGCGCTGCAGTATTTCAGCCACATATTTAACCAGTCGCACATGGGAGAGCACCAGTGGAGTACCAGCATTGGGGGGAGGCGTCGCTTGTCACTTTGCCGTTCCCGCCAGCTTGTCACAGACTCTTTCCCCCGGGAACTCAGTGAACCGTGTGTAATGCTAAGGTCAGCATGTTTAATTTGTAGTAAACAAACATGGTGCATAAGAAGCTGTTAGCGTAGCGTCAGATATAGAAGGTTGTTAAAGTTGGGGTGAGTGACAGAGTATTGATCAGGGAGAGGGAGTATTGTGTCACAAAGTTACTTCCACAAAAACATCAGCCGTGTACCCTGGCCAAGCTAACATTAGCGCTAGTGCTGTGCATGCCAGTTTCAGGCATGCCTCCAGCTCCGACACGGTGACGTGTGTGAGGGATTCATCAGCGTACAGGAAAGTGAGAATGGAGACGGAATAGCAGAGCTCTGAGTCACTGCCAGAAACGTTGGCCCACCGTGTCTGGAGTCGGCTCTCGTTTGTCGACGGGACAGCGACCAGAAACAGGAAAAACTTAATGACACAGCTGAGAAAAGTCTACGTGACTCAATTTATTTGTGAAATAATAAAAGTCCAGCAGGATGAGTTTCTGCTGTGGGAGCAGCTGCCAAAGCAGTAGCTCTTACTCATTTGGCCGTGGCGCTTCTAGCATGATTCAGCTCCCAGCGTCTCCAGAACCAACACGCTGACGGAGGAGGGTCGGTGCCAAGAAGGGTTTGTGAATGCTGGAGTTGCACTGGAAAGGTCAAGTGGCAAATACCTCTGTTCCTGGGATCTTTGTACATTAAAAATAGATGAGCACGTAAAGTGTTGTCATCAATGTTTGCTTCACGTTTTATTTTAACAACAAATGATAGAAAATAGTTTCGAGATTTCAGTTTTGCACAAATTCTGCAAAGAAACTGATGTGTTTGTAACCCTTTTAGAGAAATCACAGCTGTTATGGAAGTGGCTGCTAAAATAATTTTATATAATTGTTTAAAAGGTCATTCAGATTATTTCAGCTGGTTTAAGCTACTTATTTACACTTTTGTATTTTCCCGAGTTTAAAGGAAAATTATAATTATTATTATTTTCATTGAAGTAAAAGTGACATTTTTAGAAACGGTTTAATTTTCTTATAAGAACTGTTCTGGAATACCAACAGTAAGAAGCAAATGTCACTTTACTCAAGTGTCTAAACGGAGGTAAAATAGAAAAGCACCAAGTTTCATTGTAGTGCATGTTTGAAACTAGGTCAAGCTAATTCACGCCTCATTGGTCGTAGAGAATTAACTACCATTGATTGAAATTTTAGCTGCTTCATGCCCATCTCATTATTAAAGGGCTGCATGGTGGCGCTGTGGTTAGCACTGTAGCCTTGCAGCACGAAGGTTGCAGGTTCGAAACTCGGCTGTGGCGTTTCTGCGTGGAGTTGCGTGTTCTCCCCATGCATGCGTGGGTTTCCTCCGGGTACTCCGGTTTCCCCCACAGATCACATCATGCCCTATAGGTTATAAATTGTAAGTCGCTTTGGATAAAAGCGTCTGCTAAATTAATAAACATAAACATAAAGCAAACAGCACATCCCACCATTTCTGCACTTGTGTTGCTTATTAACGCTGGAAACAACACTTTCCACTGGGTTCCTGGTATCCAAATATACATACCGTAAATCCTCTTAATACAGGCCCGGGCCCTTATTTTACTCAAGCTCATCAAGCTCCAGGCCTTTATTGGAAGGAGGACCAGAATTAGAGGCAGGCCTCTATTTCTGTTTGAGCAAAATGAACTAATGGTTCGCTGGAGTTTTTGACAATTAAAATTGCGCCCACTAGGGCTGTAGCGAAGCCTCGACGAAGTCGACGGCTCGATTCTAAAAATTTGTCGACGTCAGATCCGGAAGTCGACGCACCGCGCCCACTTGTTGCATCCCCAGGAGTTTGTAAATAGAGGAGGAATCTGCCTGTTCTTCCTCTAGTTCGCCCTCTTCTCCGCCTTCACTAACATCTCCGCCAAATACCGAAGACCCGGAACAACGTCCGTCCACTACTAGATTATTTTCCTGTTTTGCCCCTTCGTCTCCCGGCAACGGACAAAAACTTCCGGGGTCAGATGTGCGCTGCTCCGTCTCTGTCGCAGATGTAGAAAATCACCGGGAGCGCTTCTCCCTTCATTAAGGAGCTTCTTTCAGACATGAGGAGAGCTGTTTTGGTGGTAGCAGTCTCTCCTCCGTGCTGGTCTGTTTGCTGCTGGGTGTTTTTGGTTTATTTAAACTTGGTAACTTGAACTTAATGTTGGTAAAGCTACTGTTAGCATCTTCGCTAACAGCTTCTTGCGTTGGGATAAGCTGTTACGTTTTGGTTTAGAGTTCATCTTTTTTGTGGTGTAGATCTCCCTTTTATTACATTTAGAGTGTTGTGGGTTTTCGGTTTAGTGTAAAATATCACCTGAGTTTGGTTTAACCCGTAACACCACTCGCCTCACGCACATAAGTGACCAAAACAAAGCAGCATGGAGACACTCCGTCTTCTACCACCTCTCAGGCAGCAGCCTGCACTCCCAAGTTCTACACGTCATCAGAACATAACCAACCAACACAATAAATGCAGTGTTATACAAAATGGAAGGCCTGTAGTGTTTATTCTCTTACAGTAAGAATTTATCAATTTTTTTTGAGGAATTTATTTGAGATTTTCTGGTTTTTGTTAATTGTGCAATAGAAAAATAATCATTAGATTAATTTTCTAAATAGTCATTAGAATAGTCGACTATTCGATAAAATAATCGTCAGAATAATCGTTTTAAAAATAATCGTTTACCCCCAGCCCTAGCGCCCACATTTTCAAAGTTAAACACATTTCTTTTAACAACGGTAGTTTTTGCTTCAGCCCTCTCCCCCTCCCCCTGCGCAGCGGCCGCAAACTCACTGATGCACCTGTAGCCTCTCGGAGTTCCTGCTGCTCTAAACATTTAAATAATTATTTCATTTTCTGTTCCTCACTTCTGATTACCTTCAATGGTGTCTGTTTGTTGCAACCACCAGGTACAAAAACTAACTTGTTTTTATTTGACTATTTTTCTGTCCTGTCTGTTTATTATCTTCCTGCATCGCCTCTCAATCCTAAAGAAAAACTGCTACCTGGGTTCATATATATTCACCTTATGAGTTACCTTTGAACTGCAGTTCTAAAAGATATACCGACCGGAGTGCGCGCTGCTCGCCGGCCGCACCGGTGAGGTGCGTCACCGGAGGACAAGGTGATGCGCCCCGCTCCACAGCAGCGAAAAGCATCAGGCACAAATAAAAGACAAAACATAAAAGGAAATGAGCCGACATGAACGATCGCCTGTTAAATTAGTTTTTGAGGTGGCGACACCTGATTTGATAATGTTACTGTGTCTGGAGCGCGTCAACAATCAGAGCTTTGCATGCGCAAGCTGGTTAAGGTCAGGATGGGGGTGAAGGAAGGTTAAATTGCAAGAGGGTAAACGTCACAATTTGGTTAAATGTCCGTTTTACGGCGGGTGTCAGTACCGATGCTCTGGCAAAACGCGTCGCCTCCCAACGCGCAGGAGCTTGTCACCTGCTGACAGCAGGCTGCTGTCTTTTCCGAGGGCTGCATCTTGCCGGTCATTATCACGTGACAGCGACTAGTCGATGACGGGCATAAAAAGTCACTATAGAGCGGTGAAGTCGACTAGTGACTAGTTCATATTGCTCCCCAGAGTGTTCTGCAGCATAATCAGCACGTTCTCTTTGAACTTGATATCAAATTTTCGCCTCCTCTTCGTCTCCGCACCTGCCATGGTTAAAGTTACCCTCGCGGTCTATCACTGGCAAATCAAATGTGAGATGGATGACACAACCGCCCCCCTGTGGTACTTGCTTGTTACCACATTCCACCCGGCCACAATAAAAAAAACGGCCATTATTCACCTTCACCGACTCCGACACCGTCCAAAATGCGATACCCGGCCGTTAATTGAATACAGGCCGATATTAGAGGATTTACGGTACTTTGAATAAGTTAAGAAAACATTCATGTTTGAATGTGATCAGCGTAAATAAAAGCACTTATAATGGTTCATTCTGGTCCGTATGGTTCTGGTTTAATGGGTTTGGAGCAGCACTCCTACAGCTTGCTGCATCAGTATTTATACTTGAAATCTCTTCCTTGTTTTGTTTTTAAGGCCAGACCACCTGAGCTGCCATGTGAAGCACGTGCACTCTTCAGAAAGACCATTTAAATGTCAAGTAACGGTGAGTTCTCACTGTCCTCCTTGCTTCATGTCCTTTTTTCTCTTGCATTCTGCTGACCTTTGACCTTTGCTTTCGACCTGCAGGCCTGTACCTCTGCTTTTGCCACCAAAGACAGACTCCGCTCCCACATGATCCGGCATGAAGGCAAGGTCACCTGCAGCATCTGTGGGAAGATGCTGAGCGCGGCCTACATCACCAGCCACCTGAAGACTCACGGACAGACCAACTTTAACTCCTGTAACAAAGGTTTGTCTCACAATAAACACACACACGTGTACTTTCTGCTATCTCGTACTATCCTAAATACATTTTATTTTAATTTAATTTGAGTCATAAGTGAGAAAAACATAAATGTAGCGGAGGAAAAAGAGCTCAGTTGGTGTTCCTCTGCCTGGATGTGAGACTTCCTGTTTAAGTTAAAAAATTCTGCAAACACTCCAGGAGGTTTAAGATTGTTCAGAAAAGCAAGTTCTGTTTGATACTTGAGTTAGAATCATATTTCATTGTGAGTAACCTGCTCAAGAGTGGTTTATGATTTCTGATGTGTGTTTGTCTTTATGCTGAATAATGTCTTCTAATGTTTTATAGCGCATAAGCCAGTTTCTCAGTGGACTGCGACTGTTGGTTACTGGGTGGAGGCACGAAATTGTGAGAAAATATGCAAATTTTTATTTGGAATCGTGTAGATTTGGTAGTGGTGACACTTATGCAAGAAAACGTACACGCGGCCAGGTTACTTGGAGCTTGTGACATGATTGGAAACAGTCGTCAGACTGCTATGCAACTTTAATGGTCACAGTTTAATCAGAAAGTGTCTCAGTTGATTGACTGTTTCTGCTCATTTGGATTTTCCGTTTTGCCTCCAACCCAGCCCCAAGCTGTTGGTGGGTTCCAAACTCATGGGAGGTTAGGCATTTCCAAAGACAGGCCTGTGAGAACATCTTTAATCTGTCTCCAACAGTCTCAGCCCAGTGAGATGCTGGTTTAACGCAACATTTTCTTGCAGAAGTTGGTTATTAGAGCATTTCCATGTAATTTCTCACCTTCTATTTTCTGCACAACAAACCTTAAATGCTGTGATCTGTCTTTCCAGATGGAAACGATGTCTGCAACTCTGGCTCGGTTACACCGGTGACCGTTTCGGCGCCCATCACCTCAGCGATGAACCGGGGCAACGCGAACAACAACAACCCAACCACTATAGCTGCACAAATGAACATTAGCACCAGCACGTCCAACATCACGTCCTCCATCAGCCTCCAACACCCAGTCACCATCACCAGCCCGGTCAACATCGCGTCTGTGAACATCCCCACCTCGGCGCCCATGAATATCGCCCACCCGGTGGCAATAACAACCCCCATGCCGATGAATATAGCCGGGCCGCTGAACATCGCCATGAGGCCAGTGGAGAGCATGCCTTTTCTGTCCCAAGTCTTGCCTTCTTCCCCACCTTGGTAAAAAAGAAAAAAGGAGGAAAATGGTCAACATCTGACTGAGCAGAAAGAAAGGGAAAATGAAGAGTAACGAGAGACTCCTGTCCTCATAGCCTCCCCCTCACCCAAACGGTGTTCACTCCATCAGACCCTGAAGGGAACACTTCCATGAGGAGTGAGGCCGGTTGGAGCTCCCAAAGTCCCAACTAACGTAAAGAGACCGGCACATGATGCGGAACAGTTCAGTAGGTTTTTAGTAGGATTTATCTTGAAACCAAGACAGCCGTGAGACTTAGTGTAGGCAGTTAGAATAATGAAACTGTGATTTGAATCGTGACAAATGAGAGATGAGGATTATGAAAACACACGTTCATTTTTTTTGTAGTTGTTTTCAGGAGGATGTGAAATGGACTGAAGCAATAACTTTAAATTGCCGTTTCTGATGTTTCACAGTTTCTCCCCTGAAGCCGCTGGGCGTTCATTTGTATGTAGTTTTTTTTTATTTTTATTATAGCCTGCTAATCACTATTTAATGTTATAGGAAATGAGTTTAGTAAAAGGGACAGATGCTTCCACATGCATGGAAGACTATTTTTTCACAATGTTATTATTATAGCTTCTTTTTTGTTATTTTCTCAGATTGTAGGTATGCTCTTGAGGTACAGTGACTAACTTGTACAGTTGACATAGTAATGTATTTTCAGCTTTTAAACTTTTGCTTTAGTCATTTCAGCGGACACCTGGACGCTGGCCTCGATGAAATCATTGTTTTTATTTATACCGAAGCGCAAACGTTTGTTTTCGTTTTGTTAGTGTTCAGTTTTCCATGAAGTCAAAAATGGAACGAGTCTTGCACTGAAGGCATATCCTACATGCAGGTGAGCAGCAGTATTATCAAAGATCAAATGGAGTCTTGAGTGTTTCAGTCAGCCAGCCTACACTTAAGTGCCATCTAGTGGTGGAGTGTGTCAAGTCTGGCCTAGTAGTGAAGCTTTCAGGCTGTTGATGCCACTGTTAAGGTGACAAAAATAGTTTTAGCGGACTCTTTGTTACACTGTTTTCTTTTGATTATGATTGTTTATCATTAATCTGTTACAGACCCAGGATTTTACTGAAACGTTCACTCAGGAGACACAGAAAGGCCCGTGATTCATGAGCAACTTGGACTCCCTAAAGCATTTGGCATTTCAGTGTTCCGAATTAACAGAATTCCAACAACTAGGAAGTTCAAATGTGCGTGTTTTTAGCAGCCGTCCATTTACAGTGATCATTTAATGTACAATTAAATAAATGCTGTACGACTTTTTTACCTTAACTTTCAGTTTGACAAACCATGATTTTGTGTCCATTTAATTTAACAAAAAGTTGGAGCAAGACTGACGTTGCATGACCCCAAACACTGTAGCTGTTGAACATGAAAGTTTTACTTTTGTTTGAATGGATGCCATGTTATGTCAGCAGTGTTGCAGCTCTTCAGTTTATACAGAAAAATGCAATATGCATGTTTTCATTTTTTCCTCAGTTTTAACAAAATATTAGTGTAGTTTTTTTATTCTTATACATTTACGTAGATACACTATAATAGCCTATTTGCCAAATTTGAAACTATTACAATGTGATGACCTGAAATTCAACATCTCGTTTATTTTAAGGAAGGAAGGAAAAAAATTGGAAATACCAGGACCCGTGTGAAAAGCAGTTGAATGTATATCTTTGTACAAAAGTTTTAGTTGCGAGGATAAGGTAGTTACAATAGATGTGAAAGATAAAAACCTTTTTTTATAAATCTTTTGTATTAGAACATTAACATTGATAATTTTGTATATATGAGAGGCTAGGCTTTCTGATTAGCAGAAAGGTCAAACATTCCTACATTTTTTTAAATGTACGTTTGTCAAATTATTACTTAAACATGCGCAATGTTATGTGCCTTTTATTTGGGTTGTCTAAATAAAAGAAAATTATCAAATGTGTTTGATGTATGAAGTGCTGCACAGTATCAGGAGTTAAAGCATCACTTGAGCTTCCTGCTTCTCCCTCCTACTGGTTAGAAACAGAATTCCAATTGTTAACAGCCATGCCCCAGCCTGTTGTAGCTAGCGCTAATGCTATCACAAGCCGACTGATGCTAAATTAGCCACAAATTTAAAACATCCACACTGGTGGTGGACAAAAACTATTACAAGTCCAGTAGCAACAAAGCCAGGTCATTATTAGTCTCACTGTTTTTAGCCTCAAACCAGTGTAGGCTGCACCCATGTTGACTGGGTTTAGGTCTTTGCATCACCTCCACAGACATTACTCTTACTTTTAATTCCAGGCTCCATCGTAATGCCATCAAAAGTCAAAATTTTCGTGTGCTTTTCATTACCTGTTGGCGTACTCAAAAGCTAAATGCTAGCCTTTTTATGAGCTACCAGTACAGTTATCGTTGTGGCTACAGAGTGATGCCCAATGGGAAGATGCTCAAGTCTATGGCTCAAGAACCACTGAAACCCGTTTAATGACCCAGTAGCTTCCACCCAGTACAGTCCCAGTTTTCATCACTACGTGATCATGCCACTGCCGTGCATGACTAGGGATGGTTCTGCCTGGTTTCCTTCTAGTTGTAGGACTTTGCTAGCCTCTTAAGCCATCCTATATACGTGAATATAACTTTGCAAGACAAGAATTTGCTCTAGGCTAAGATTTTGCTCCATATTGTCTGAGAAGCATTCAGCTGGCATTTAGCCAGGATCACCTTCAAGCTCTGTTGCTATAGCAACAATTTTCTTTACATCATCTTCTCTCCGATGCATTCCCCTTCACTAAGCTGGTTTTCTAATCAAGTCAACACTGGGTGTGACGTCGCCTCAAACAAATGGAAAACACCTTTTTCCGCCCCAAACTGATAACATAATCCAGAATATTGTTGCAAATTAAACTCAGTTCTGTTAATCTTCAAAAATAAGTCCCACAATGTTGCGTTCACAGTCAAATCTTACATCTAGGAATTTCTAGCCTGGTATCTGCAGCTCTCCTGCACTTTTCCCAAGATGAAACTGGTATTTGACTTATTCCCGCTCCTCCATAAATCCACAATAATCTCCTTTGTGTTGTTGGGATTGAAGAATGTTCCCACACCGTGTCACCAAGCAGTCTAGCAGCTTCCCGTGCTCCGCCTCCGGTCTGCTGAGGAGTGGAGAGAGTACTGTCTCCTGCTGACACAAACACACAGCTTTTCATCTTGTGCATGAAGTGGCAAATTTATAAAAATGCAAGAAAAAAATTGCATTTTTTTTTCAGAGTTTTCTTGCATCTACTACCCTTCTGTATTCCAGGCATGGAACTGATTGAGGAATTAACCAGACCTTATTTCAAATTTCACTGATCTCCTGCTCTAATGCTGATTATGAATCCAACAGCACACACCCTCCCGCTGAAGGCTACATCTACAAACTCATTCTGAATGCACACCTGCAGTTTGCCAACGGGACATTCCTGCAGATCCTGTTATGGAGGCTTCCTTGTGATTTTTAGATTTTGCTTCCAACTATCCTGATTAAATTTTCCTAACTGTTAAAGTGGTTTTGATCTAGTGTGGACATCGGTTGGCTTTGTAAAAATGATCCACGTAAAACAGACCATTTTGACAACAATAACGAGCAGTTTTTATTTTTACAGTGAAATAAAAAACAAAAAACAAAGCAATAACAAGCTATTGAAACAAGAACAGCTGATGTCTGAAACGTTGACACGATGATCAACTTTAGGATGATGTATCTTACAGGTCTTTGTTGTTCTTTCCTACGGTCCTAAAGACCTCCCTTTCAGACATGGTGCTTCTGCTGTGGATAGAGTTATTAGACCTGATGCTTTTTTATCTTTTATTTTGCTAAATGTAAGCAAAATTACTGAAAAAGCAATTGAAGTTTAAAGGTGTGGAACACTCGTTTAATACATGTGCAGTGGTGTGTAGGGATGAATGCCTTGCAAGACTCTGGGGGGGGGGGGGGGGAATCTGGTGCACCATTTCCAGGAACTAGCAGTGACCCACATCACAGCTGAGCTTCAGACAGGAGGATTTGGAGTTCTGTTTCCTGATAATTGGACATCTCACCTCGGATTGGATAACAGCAACTCAACTCTACCTTTGACTTGCAACGCTGATGTTTTAGCTCCCCAAATAACGCAAGCCTGGAGGACCTTCTGCCATGTTGTAGAGTTGCTAATGCTAAAGGTCAGCTTCTGCTAGATGAGAAGTTCTCTGCTGTTTCTAAACCAACAGCCTTCCCCGTCACGAGATGGGTGACTCCATGAGCGACAGTGTGACGTAGATCTTCCAGGCTTTTCTAATCGTAGTTTCACCATCTATTTTCTATCAGAAGCTAATGCAGGTGTTAGCTGTAGGAGACTATTTCCATGTTCAGCTTGCATAAAAAACTCATTGTGACTGATTATAATCAGAAATAAGATTTAGTGATGTTTTTTTAGTGTTCCACACTGTTAAAGTTTGTTTTTGTGTCCATCATGAATAAAGTTTCACCATTGGTGTGAATTTCAAATTTTTAGACCAACACTCGGATCAAAACCATATATTTAAAATAAAGAATTGTGCAAAAGATTTAGATATGTCCTAATTTATCTAGGTGTTTATATCTGCCTCCATCAAGGGTCTTAATGTTTTCTGATTTTTAACCTTAACCCCAAAGCGGTCCACACAACCATCAAAAATGACAAAAAAAATTACAACATTGATTATGTCTTGTGTTACAATAATCATTCTTCTGTTGATTTGATTTAATTAAGTATTGAAGAATTTGTTGTAATGTCACTAAATGACAGCAAGAGGGAGACGGTTGTCCAGCAGGAGCTGAAATGACTGGATTTGTCCCCAATTAACATTTTTGTCCTTTCTAAAAAAAAATGTCTGCTACCTTGGTAACACATCAGCGGCTCTTTGGTGGCGAAATGGTAAACGGGTTGTATTTATGTGCCTTCTAGAGTCGTACGACCCCCCAAGACACTTTACAGCACAAACAGCCATTCACACACACACACACACACACACACACACACACACACACACACACACACACACACACACACACACACACACACACACACACATTCCTGTCAGAATATGAGAATTTGGGTCTTTTAGGGGTTTACTTTCTCTTTGCCAGGATTTAAAAATTTATATTTCAAGTAAAAGATAATCAAAGTAATCTTTTTCTTTAAATTTGAACAATTGTCTCTGAAAAAACAACTTAATTTTTTGGTTTGTATTTTAAAACCAAAATCAAGTGACTGGTTTAAGATCAGGCACAAGCTAGAAAAATAAGGAGACTCTAAATAAAAACTTGTCAGACTCCTTGGAAGCAAACTGTTTTAGAAAAAGTATTTTTGTAGAGTGGCTGGCACATGAACCAGAGTTCCCCCTGGATCTCTTGAGTTCACTGGGTAATGTGTGAATATGAAAGTCACAGCAAATCTAGATTATCTTGTCACTCTAAATCAATCAAGGTTTTTTTTCATACTTTTAAAAAATCTTGCATGCACGTCTGATTAAAATCAAAAAGGCTCTGCCTCGGAGGTCTGAGTAAGGACGAGGGTTGAGCAGGAGGTTGAGACAAACCCACAGAACCTTTGAACTTCTGACCTGATGTCCAGTACAAGTTCCACACTGACTGTCCAGCAGGTGGTGCTGTTTAAACATTTATCACCTTGCAGCGTTGCTCCCAAAACTTTCACCCCCTTAAATGATCAGTTGTCTAATCTTCTGGCATGCAGCATTCATTTAATCTCTTTATTGAAGTCATTTCAATATAAAAACAAAAGTGGAATGTTTAGACCAGGGGTCACCAACCTGGTGCCCCCCAGGAGCCATAAAAGGTGCCCATGGGCCTTTTCTTCAAATAGCACAGGTCCAAAATAAAATAAAAAGATTTGCTGCCATCTTTTTTAATCATAAATGCATTAATATGGGTTCAAATAAAACATTTCTTAAAAACAACATTAAAATATGTTTATTATACATGAAATTTAGTGTATATTTAGGGCGACGGTGGCACAGGAGTTAAGTGCTCACCCTGTCATTAGAAGGTTGCAGGTTCAAGCCCCACTCACTGTCGTTGTGTCCTTGGGCAGGACACAACCCACCTTGCCTGCTGGTGGTGGTCGGAGGGACCGGTGGTGCCAGTGCACAGCAGCCTTGTCTCCGTCAGTGCGCCCCAGGGCAGCTGTGGCTACATCGTAGCTCATCCCCACCAGCGTGTGAATGGGTGAATGAGTGTTTAGTAAAGCGCCGTAGGGGGTTCCATGACTCTAGAAGGCGCTATATCAAATACAGGCCATTTACCATTTATAACTTATATCTATTCTAGTTCAAAGGTCACTATTGTATCAACCTGGTAGGGTCCTAAACCCATGACATCACAAAGGTCTATGACCCCTGGTTTAGATGCTTTACTTCCTGTGTTTCCATCCAACAGGCGGGAAACTTTAGATTATGAAGGATCGTCTTGAGGCCCGAAATGAATGAATAAATCCATTTACGTGTAATTAGTTTTACAGCTGAACGCAGAGCCGTGGTTCCCTGTTGAGCTCTATAAATAAACACCAGCTGATATTTGATGTTTGATCTATTCACGGCCCACCACAGCTGACTGATGATGCAGGCTGGGAAACATCTGTGTGGTCTGGAACCGGACCGACGTGATCTAAAGTGTCCTGAGTGAATGCTTTGAACAGACCTCGCTCCTCCCACTTCAGCCACTCTGTGACACACACACACACACACACACACACACACACACACACACACACACACACACACACACACACACACACACACACACACACACACACACACACACACACACACACACACACACACACACAGCACTTCCTGGATTGTAGCACAGAGCTGGTGGGTGTGGCGGTAAGACAAACATCCAGCAGGTCAACAATCCCGTCTTAAGAAGGACT